TATTTTTACACATATGCAAAGCAATAACATTTTCCAAAATTATTATATACAAAATATTAAGTTTTATTTTGGGAGTACTTAAAATGATTGGTGGTATGCTACTCTATAAGTTAGAGGGTTACAGGTTCAATTCCATCTAGAGACTATGATTCATTTATAACGGTTTTTTGGGATTTGGGCTTTTAAATAAGATATAGTTTACTATGTAGATATAGACTCCGCTTTTCCTATAATTTGATCCTATTTTTCCAAAATGATCGCAATCTAACTATAAAATTTATAAAGTTACTTTATTTTTATTAATTTCCAAAAATACATATTACCTACTATTATTATTACTATAGTTTTTACACATCACAGTTCTATTGTGCAAAGACTTGTATTATTTAAAAGTTTATGGGGGTAGAAAGTTACACCAGACTGAACAAATTACTACAACTATTGTATTGAAATCAAAGTGAAGTAAGTTTTATTGTATATATGACAATTTTCCATAACAATCATGATTACTGTCAATGAAAAATATATGAAAAGTTTCTGCGTTTTTCTCCTCGAACACTGTAAACCAAGACATCCTCACATAAAACTCAAATTAATAACCCAGCAAACATATAATTCAACTTATGAAATATACAACTTTGTATTTTCAAAACATAGCAATTATGAGTCTTAGTTTTAGTTTAACCCCCCTATATATGGTTTATTAAGCAGTTTTTACAAATTTCCTATACTAAACCGTCTATAAATTTTTAAGCATTAAAGAATACGGAAGTAAATATTTATGTTTGTTGGGTTATCATATGATACATAGTATGTTGGAGACAATATATTTACATTTCATACTCCATCAGACACAGTTATTAAACAGAACTCCATGGAAACTGTTAACGCTTTATTGTTTGTGTTTTTGTATTTTATATGAAAATAAATTGACCACAATTTGTATAAAATTTTTGATTAATTAGTAAACAATTTTACTGTCTTCCTATCATGTAGCTTTCAAGCAAAACTTATACATTTTTCTACCGTACACCACTATGCTGATGTATCTAACATCCAAATATACGCTACAGGATAATTTGATGAATTTTGGCACATACTCTTCTTTCGACCCAAGGACGAACGCTATTGAAAATGGTTGAAATCGGTCCATTATTTTGCATGGCCACCATACAGTCGTAGCCCCAGAATAGGGCTTTTGAGGGAAAAAGAAATATACACGCCTGGTACCAAATTGACACCAAACAGTTTACAATTTTTCAATACCATCCGTTGTCAGAGTATAAACATACGTACGACAACACTATGTAATGTTGACAACATTGCAACAATTCGTTGTCGAAATCTAAATGTTATACACATCCGTTGTCTAAATGTTAACAAACGTGGTAAGCTTACTATTGACAAACAATCTGTTGCCAATAGTGAGCTTACCACGGTTGTTAACATTTAGACAACGGATGTGTATATAATTTAGAATTCGACAACGAAATGTTGCAAAGTTGACAACGTTGCGTTGTCAACAAGGACACTAATAGCCTACACAATCATTCATAAAAGAAATATTAAAAAGTATGAAAAAACTAAAACTGTGAAATACCACAAAAGTCTGTGCAACTTAGTATTACTGTCACAAAGGCATGTTGTTAGACAAACTGTATACATTTCATATAAATAAACAAATTCAACCCTGTAATGTTGCAAGGAATCAAAGTATTATTTTAAAGTATTAACAACTTGTCTAATTTGAAATTATAAATGTTTAAGTAATGCTAAACACCTCTATATTGAGCCCAAGTAAACTAACGGTTACGTTACTTTAGAGTCCCTAAGTAATGTAAAGGGAAGATATTTTTCCGCACTAGACTTTACAAAGTAGTTCAGTATAGTTACTCTGCATTACAGGGAAATGTTTGTGTAGGTGTTAGTAAATAATACAATTGAATATTGAAAACAAAAATCCTATACACAGACACCGAATTTTCTACAATCACATAGAAACTAAACAAACATTGCAAAGCTTGCAAAATTTGTAAAAGAAATATACAAACATGTCAAAATTTATTAGGGTGTCTACGATCAGAAAGCTTTTTTGAAAAATTTTGTCACTTTTTAATATTATAAACAGGATCATCAATTTATACTTTATAAATGGTCTTTGATGGTGATATAAAAATATTAACTAAAACGCAACTTTCATTTAAGTTAAAGCTTTTTTGGAAGCTTACCTAATATTTATAAAAACTATATAAAATTCCAATTCATATGGGTACTCCAGCATGTTGCATTTGTTTTTTTTTTTTTTTTTTTTTCTTACTTTTTTTATTTGTCTCTATATTCAGACTTTAAGTGCCACTTGGGAAATCAATGTACTGTGTTGTTTTGGGCTGCAAGTTGTTTGTTGTTGTATACAACATCATTGCAAAATTCATGTATAAAGTAATGAAAAAAAAAACTGTTGTAGAGCTTTATATTTTTTAGTCGATATTTTAAATTTTTGTTGTTATTCAGATTTACTTTTTTTTGTTACTGTTGCCGTTACTGTGCGGCATTTTTAAAAATCCGGTAAATATAAAAACAATAAACAAAAATTTGTCTACTTACGTGTATATAAGTAGAATTTTGAATCTAAAAGGCTTTATTGTATTTGAGCGGCTTTAAAGCCTACCACAATCCTCTAATAACAACATCATCATAGATTTTTGAAAAAATATTCCCAATTTTTAAAGGCGAACAAAATAAGAAAAAATTTTCATTGCCAAAATAAATGCCATTGAAAAAAGTCATCTACACTCCTATATGAATCCGACCAATAGACCAAACCAACAATAAATCAATAAAGTAGATAACAGTTTGACCAGACCAGATGATAGACCAGACCATAGACCAAACCGAAAACCAGACGATGGACTAGATCATATACCAAACCAGGCCAGATCATAGACTATAGACCAGACCATAGACCACATAACCGAAAACCAGACGATAGACTAGATCATAGACCAAACCAGACCACATCAGACCATAGACCAGACCATAGACCAGACCATAAACCAGACCAGACCAGACCATAGACCAGACCATAAACCAGACCAGACCAGACCATAGACCAGACCATAGACCAGACCATAGACCAGACCATAGACCAGACCATAGACCAGACCATAGACCAGACCATAGACCAGACCATAGACCAGACCATAGACCAGACCATAGACCAGACCATAGACCAGACCATAGACCAGACCATAGACCAGACCATAGACCAGACCATAGACCAGACCATAGACCAAACCATAGACCAGACCATAGACCAGACCATAGACCAGACCATAGACCAGACCATAGACCAGACCATAGACCAGACCATAGACCAGACCATAGACCACACCATAGACCAGACCATAGACCACACCATAGACCAGACCATAGACCAGACCATAGAACAGACCATAGACCAGACCATAGACCAGACCATAGACCAGACCATAGACCAGACCATAGACCAGACCATAGACCAAACCATAGGCCAGACCATAGACCAGACCATAGACCAGACCATAGACCAGACCATAGACCAGACCATAGACCAGACCATAGACCAGACCATAGACCAGACCATAGACCAGACCATAGAACAGACCATAGACCAGACCATAGACCAGACCATAGACCAGACCATAGAACAGACCATAGAACAGACCATAGAACAGACCATAGAACAGACCATAGACCAGACCATAGACCAGACCATAGACCAGACCATAGAACACACCATAGGCCAGACCATAGACCAGACCATAGACCAGACCATAGACCAGACCATAGACCAGACCATAGACCAGACCATAGACCAGACCATAGACCAGACCATAGACCAGACCATAGACCAGACCATAGACCAGACCATAGACCAGACCATAGACCAGACCATAGACCAGACCATAGACCATAGACCAGACCATAGACCAGACCATAGACCAGACCATAGACCAGACAATAGACCAGACCATAGACCAGACCATAGACCACACCATAGACCAGATCAGTTATCGAGCGGTATCAAAGATATGTATACATATATATTCTGTGAATTAAATATCGATATAGAATAGAATAAAGGCACATTTGCGTTAATTTCAATAAAATTACAATTAATTATACCATGATAGAGAAATTAATATTTATCGATACATACATATATGTTGGAATTGTGTGAATCCTTTAATTGACATTAAGGTCGAAACAGTTTTATTGACATTTTAACTTAACAATTAAGGAAATAAACACCTTTATTTCAATTAATTGCTATCGACATTATTTTATACAACCCATATACATACATAAATACATAAATAAATCGATATACATATAAAGAAACATGATTAATCACGCATTAAATAAAAAGTGAAAGGATATACTTATGTATATGTATTTATACCACAAGTCCTGGTATTTACTCATGTATGTATTTTGGATAAAAATTGTTTAATAAATAGTAAATAAAAATGTCATATTTATAACTGATTAATGTATAAATAATCACCACTTATAAAGGATTAACACTCAAACTTACACAGCAATCAAAATGTATTATTTATTAAATGGGTTTAAGTTTTTCCTTTTTTCTTTTTTGAAACATTAATTCATATTCAAGCGTTTATTCGTTCATTATTAAATTGTTGAGATTTGCATGTTTAAAATGAAACAATAATTACCACAGTCATTATCACTACTATAATTTTATTTAATTTTTTTTTATTCAATATTATTATATATTTCCGTACTACATTTAAACATACATAATTACTTAATTTCAGTTATATTTGACTTTATTTTAAATCTGTATGTTATCTGACTGCGCCTTATGCCTTAGAATTCATATCATGCATTGAATATTTTACAATAAATATTTTTATTCACATTGAATAATAAATTTAACAATTTTACATTTTTGTTTATTGTTTTTTTTTTTTTTTTTTTGTGGGCCATATTTTTAGTATTTATGGCCATCATTCCAGAAATTTAGCAATTCTCGTGGTCATCATATGTTGGCGGATAATAGATTTCAATATGGCATTGATTTTAATCGTCCTCAACAAGAGTTGTTGCAACAGCAACATCAACAACATCACCCTAACTATTTGGCAGAGTTGGAACAGGAGACATTACGCAAATCACAACCACAAATTATAACCAAAGACTTGACATTATCCTCGACAAAATACAACAACAACAACAACAATGATGATGTTGATGACGATGATATTGATGCTGCTGAAGAAGATATAGAATTGGGAAATACAGATGATGATATGGTTGCACAAATGGATGTAGTTATAAATGCAGATGGTGTTGATAGCAGTGAAGGAGCCGAAGGACAATCAACATTACATTTACCTCATGCTAGATGGCCAAATCATTGGACGGATATGAATTCACAATTATCCGAAACAACACCCTCAATCACGTACAAATGGCTAACGAGTCCTTGGTCCGAATGTTCACAGAAATGTGGAGCTGCTGGTTCAGGCTTAAGGGTAAGTTACACACACATACACGATGATAATGTTTCAGTATTTTTGTAAATTAAATTGTTTTGCAATTTTGTTCATTTTGTTTACTTTAAATTAGAGACGTACTATTACGTGTGTTAGAATCAATTTTAAAAATAATCAACTACTAACACAAGGAATGGAAGCCACCAATGTACAGCAACTACAAGAATCTCAACTACGGGAGGTTGATGAAGACAATCAAGAGGTTGTGGATAATGCTTTGTGTGAGGACTATGGTTTAGATATACCCGATACTTTTGAAACGTGCGGCAATGAAGAGTGTCCACGTTGGCTTAAGGGCGAGTGGACGCTGTGTCATCAATCACGTTGTTTTGGCCGCAATACAGCCATACAAAAACGTGAGGTGTCTTGTCGTTTTGCCAATGATTCGTTGGCCACAACATGTCCGGAATATGAAAAACCCATAAGTCGCCAGGAATGCTATAATGAACGCTGTCGTGGTGTTTGGAGAGTAGAACCTTGGTCAGAGGTAAGTTGTATTTAAAAACGAAGTTCATTAACTCTTTAGTTTAATATATCTTGATTATAGTATTGTATTTGTTTATTTTTTTGTCTCCTTTTTATTTGTAATAATTTTAGTGCAATGCACCTTGCGGTCGCCAGGGTATTAAGTATCGTGTACTGCAATGCGTTTGGTATGGCACCAGAAGACCAGCAGGAAATGCCTGCAAACATCAAACCAGGCCGGCCGTTATGAAAGTTTGCAAAAGTCCACCTTGTTATGCAAAAGGTAAATATTAAAATTAATGTTCTGTTTATATATTTGTTGGTGTGTAGATAATAAATCAGGATAAAGTGGGTAAAGACCGGCCGAAGGTGTTTAAAAAAAGTTGAATTACTTTTATTTATATTAAACATAATACTCAAAGGTTTTTTTAAATATCTTATGTCAAAATAATTATTATACATGGTTACTGCAATCATTAAAGCATTATTTCTCAAATTTTTAAATATGATGCTCACTATAATCTTATATTTAGTTGAGGTAATCATATTATCCTAAATTCATTGTTTATATGATTGCTGCAATCAGTTATCTAGTTGACGCAATCATATTATTCTAAATTCATTGTTTACTTGATTGCTGCTATTAAGTATACTTATGTTCCTCACAATCAATTTTTCATTGTGTATACTATTTGCCCCACCGAATATACTTTTGTGTATAAATATTCCTCTTGCCTCTTGCCTAATTTAATATATCGTCCATCATGTAAAAATAAAATGAAATTAAATGGCATTTGTATACTTTTTTTTCTTTCTCTCATTTTGTTAATTCTACTTTAGCTTTACAACATTGTAAAGATACTTCACGTTATTGCCGCAATGTACGTTCCATGGGCTTATGTCGTTTACATCGTTATCAAGAGAAATGTTGCAAATCCTGCAAATATAATAACATTCCAAATTAGCACACATTTAATAATCATCACAATCATCATTATCATCATACTCAGCCACATTATTATCATCAACAACAAGAACAAATAGAACATCAACTACAGACACCAGCAGTAGTAACATCATTATACACCTTTGGTGAAACCATATTTGCACCAAAAAATTTTACATAACCAAACAAAATCCAATGACAAAGACGACACTTTTTTTGTAACCAGCAGCCGGATAAATGGAGTGTCAAGATTTTAGTATAATGTAACTAAATGAAGCCGCATTAGAAAAGTGTAAGAGAAAAAAAATTATGGAAAACGAAGCAATTATAGTTAAATGAAAAAGAGTTTATAAATTAAATTATAATTTTTGATATTACTATTTTTAAAATACAACAAAAAAAAAATATATATAGCAAACGATAAACTAATCTTTAAATAATTAAAATATGTATTTGCGGAAGAGCAAATATAAAATAGTTTAAAAAAATATGAAAATCCTATAATTAAAATCTTTAAAATTTAAGGCTTAAAAGAAACAAATAAGACCCTTTAGTTTAACAAAAAAAAATGATTTTAAAAATCGGCACATTTTAGTAAATAACTAATACCTTATCTTAATTATTATATTTAATGTCTTAATACAGCTCTAATAAACTAAACAGATTGAAAGTTGCAAGCTATATTTTGCGCTCCTTAAGGGCACGAATCAGTTTCCTCTAATGATTGTCAATACACTGACAGTTGTACCAAACGAAAGTCATTCTCCGCCTGGAATCAAATATTCCGCTGTATTTTATTGAATATTTCGAAATTCTTTAAAGATTGACCTTTGACCTTAAGAGCGAATTGTTAAAAAATGTGCGATTTTCTTAGGTTTCGTTATAAAAAAATCCTAAATATTTAGAAATTAAACTTATCATTGTTATTCCCAAAGCAATTAGATCTTCGTTTCAAATCGGCCGGAGTCATATGGATTCCAATATTGTAGACACATCGATAGTTGTTTTTAACGAAATTTTATCTCCATAAACGAAATCTTTTTCTGTATTTTATGAAAGTTTTTAAAAAGTTATAAGTTTGACCTTTGACCTAAGGAGCGAAAAATTTAAAGCGTTTCCAATTATGAATACAGCGACAGTTGTATTCAACGATTTTTTTCATCCAGGAATAATATTTCTCTGGATTTTAATGAAAAATTCCAAACAGTTATAATTTTGACCTTTGACCTACGGAGCAAAAAAACGTTGTGAATACAGCGAATGAATGTTTTTCATCCAAGAATAATATTTCTCGGCATTTTAATGAAAAATTCCAAACAGTTATAAGTTTGACCTTTGGAGCGAAAATGAGTTGTGAATACAGCGAATGAATGTTCAATGAAAGTTTTTCATCCAGGAATAATATTTCTCTTCATTTTAATAAAAATTTCTAAACAGTATAAGTTTGACCTTTGACCTCAGAAGCGAAAAAGCGTTGTGAATACAGCGAATGAATGTTTTTCATCCAGGAATAATATTTCTCGTCTTTTTAATAAAAATTTCCAAACTGTATAAGTTTGACCTTTAACCTCAGAAGCGAAAAAGTTTAAGGCGTTTTAATTTGCTGGGTTTCATCAAAATTCTTTAAAAATCCTTAATATTTAAAAATTTGAATTTGAAATCGAACCGTGTCTTCCAAAGATTGTGAGTACAGCGAACTGTTGTTATTCAACGAAAGTTTATTCTCATTGATACAGTTATAAGTTTGACATTTAAACTCAGGAGAGAAATGCTTAAAGCTTTTCAATTTGCTTAGGTTTCATTAAAATTCTTTTAAAAATTCTAAATGTTTAGAAATTAGTCGTTTGATTGTTATTCCCACATCAATGGGATCTTCGTTCCGAATCGGTCCAAGTTAGACTCTGTAAGAAAATTTTCCAAAAAAAAACTTTTTAGATCTTTGCTTTGAAAAACCCCAAGTCAGATATCCTCAAAGATAATGAACACGGAAACTGCAGTATAAACAGACCGAAAGTTTTCGATGCACTTTCTATATACTTAATAGTTTGACCTTTGACTTTAGAAATGAAAAAAAAAATAGTTTTTCTATAACTTCAATATCTTTGATGGGGATACTATCCTGCACTGGAATATTTCTCTATCAAAAGCTCTCAAATCATTCAAAATATCTTGAAATCCCTCCCAAAATGGATCTATTTTTGAGCAATAGAAAAGTTTTTATGGAAACTTATAAAACTTTGACTTTAAAAATGAAAAAAATAGTTTTTCTATAAATTAAATTTCTTTGATGGGGATACTATCCTGCATTGGAATATTTCTGTATCAAAAGCTCTCAAATCATTCGAAATATCTTGAAATCCCTTCCAAAATGGATCTATTTTTGGACAATAGCAAAATTCTTATGGAAACTTATAAAATGCCAAGAAAGCTTTTGAAATTGCTTAACTTTCTTGTAAAATGCTTTCACTGCCTTTTAACTTTCTACTAATTTTCAACATTTTACCGCTTGACGTTTTCATTCTGTTTTGTTTATAGGCATTAATACAAAATTAAAGTACTGGATCTTTTTGTTAATTGTATTATTTTTATAATTTTATTCCAAAAATAACATATAAAGTCATCCACCAAGATAAAAAAAATAAACAAAATGTAAACCAAACCAAATGAAATGAAAAATGAAAACGAATAATGTTAATGAAATAAAAATATTGCAAACATGAAAACAAACAAATAAATAAAATAAACTTACATGGCATAAATAAATGAATAAAATAATAAATATATAATAATACTTATGCATATAAAAAAATAAATATAAAATAAAAAATATTGTAGTTATACATACTATTATATAATAATACTATATACATACATATATGCCCATAAGCACTGTTAAACGAAAAATGATGTAAATACAATTGGTTTATACTTATGCAAAATAAATATTAATTAAAATAAAAAAAAAACAAAAGATTAAAGTATATAAACACCAGCATACACATATACATACATAAATTAATTAAACGTAAAAATACAAAAAAGTTGAGAACATTTATTATAAAAATTATATAAATAAACTAAAAAAATCCATAAAATGAGAGAAAAATAGAAATATGCCAAAAAAAAGACAAAACTCAACAACCAATAAAATCTATATAAATATTCATAAAATACATGCCACCAAAAGCAGCTAAAATACTAAATATTACTAAAGACTTAACGACAAACCGTTTCTTTTTTTTAAATAAAAATTAACATTAATTGAATATTAAACTTTAAAAACAGCTTGAATAAAATTTAACCACAAAATCTTTAAAAATATAAATACTATCTACTAAAGAAAACCAAAAATAAATCTTTAAAAAAAAACAAACAAACAAACCGTATACAAAAACTCCTTAAAACAAGTAATAAATACTTTCTGATTAAAAATGCTTTTTGTTTCAAATATACGTACCTGTTTACATAAAAAAGAAATTTGATCTAAAACTTACAACATTTTCCTTGGTAAACTCTACAAGTTTAAAGCCAACAATCAATTTTATTGGTTATTAATTTAATATGAAAAGCTTATTGTATTTGTAATAATTTCTTTTCTTTTCTATAAACAATTCTTAATAATACTCAAAACTATTTTGTAAATATTAAAACTCCCTTTTATTAAATACTACCCATTTCTTATTCCCCCAAAATAAATTCCCTCCTCTAAACAAAAAAAAAACTTAAACAGACTTAGATTTATATATAATTTATCAAAAATAATTATAGTTTAATATAACATTAAATTTAAAATGTTAAAAAAACATAAATAAAATAATGAGAAAATAAAAAAATAAATAAAATTAAATAACTATGCCTAAGTGTTTTATAAGATAAATAAACAAAAACCTTATAATTATTATTTTTAGTTAAAATTAAATTAAATTTAATAAACCAAACAAAAACAAATACGAAACACACAACAAATTATACTAATTGTTAGTTATTAAAACAACAATTAAAACTTGTATTATAAAATAAAATTATAATTGTAATTCTTTTAAGTTAAACTATATTTTTTAAATAACAAATTGCTCATTATTACGATTGTTTAAGCATTATTAAAAAAAAACAATAACAATTTTATTTTGTTTGCTTTAAATATAAGAAATCATTTACAATGTATTATTTTTGGGAAAATTTATGTTAAACAGAAGAACAGAAAAAAAGAAAATAAAATAAATAAATAAATAAAGTATAAAAACAAGTTGTAACACCATTCAAAATATAACGTCTTTTATTTGTGTTAGAATTCAGGAAATAATTCACAATAATAGATTTATTCTGAATTATTGAACATATTAGACTTTAGGAGGTTTGTTAATCAAGATCAAATATATGAAAGAAATTTTCAGAAAAAATTTCATTAAAATTCTAATTTCGCTTGCAGACTTTTTAAGTCTTATTAACTGCTTATGCTACACACTTGGAATATTTAAAACAAAAGACTTAGAACACATGCAGGAATATAGAATTTCCATAAAATATTTACCATACTTTTATTGAGAGCGAAATTGGCTTTCATCACAAATTTTAAGCAAAATTCTAAATTTTGCAAATGCGCATTTGTTAAGTATTCGAAGCAAATGCTTGGTTTAATAAACATTTAGAAAGACTTAAGACACAAACTCGTTACGAAAGAATTATGACACGAAGTCGACACGAAAGACTTATGGCACGAACCCGATCGAAACTAAGTGGTTATATTTGCATAAAAAAACCGTTTGGTTTAGTAAACACTTAGAAAGACTTAAGACAAGAACCTGATCAAAGTTTAGAGGTCATATGCATATGCAAAATTTAGAATTTTTATTAAATCATGATTGGATTAAAATTTTATGGTACTTTATACATATTTTCAGCAAATTTTGCTCTAATTAATTTTACAGAAAGATCCGGTTCAGTTTCACTTGAATTCCTTATGATTGTGGACTTACGCATGTGTCTTAAGTCTTTTGTATCCCATACTACCATAGCCGCCTGAGAATCTTAAAATAAGCACTAAATATTGATCTTAATTCAATCTTTATTAATAATAGTCTCATACAAAATCCCCTTCAGAAAAAGATTTGAAGGCCAACATTAACTTATAAATACTAATACCACGATGAAATTCTACATAAATAACTTTAATGTAGACATAAATCTCTCTACCAACATTTATAAGGATAGGCTCATATTTACCTCTGCCTCCATACAGCCCCTCTTTTTGAAAATCTCTTACTTTTTTGTCAACAAATTGCAAAAAATTTTCGGAATTCTGATAACAAAACAAATTAAAGATAAAACAAGTATTATTGTATTATTGCTTATATCTCCGTTATTTATTGGCAGATTTTGCTGATTAGGATAACTTCTCGAAAGTATGTCTGAATGAGTTATTGGAGATTTGGATCTCAACGAGATCTGCGGTTTTCAGAAAACTAATTTTAACAGAAACACAGACGGACAGACAGAAAGACAGACAGACAGAAAGTCAGACAGACAGACAGACAGACAGACAGAAAGACACACAGACAGACAGACAGACAGACAGATAGACAGACAGGCATCGACTCCGCTATCTTCAAGAATCCAGAATATATATACTTTATTGCGTCAGAAAATTATATTGTGGAAATTACAATAGGAATGGCAAACTTATATATATATACATATGTATATGTACCTTTCTCACGAAGGTGAAGGGTATATAAATTAAATTAATTTTAACATAATGACTGGTGTAGGGTGTCATATTTCTGGACATGACCGACAATACATTCTTACTTGTTTATTTACAAAATTTTTCTTTTAAAATTTAAAAATAAAACGCCTTAAAGAAAATACTATTGTTAAGTGACTGCACTTCTTCATAACACCCTGGACACAAACCCAATATTTAAAGAATTTTTGAAATACCCTGTGTGTGTATTTAAACGGGCGTTATTTGTCGTTTTTAATATCGACCCTAGGGTATTGCCAGACATGTTAAATTTAATGTTGCCACTTCATAATATTTACACAGAAAAACCGTTAATTTTGAATATTTATATTCGCATTTATAATTACTTTTGTATTAATATTATTAAATATTAGTACATACATTATAAATTTCTTTACAAATTTGTCACTAGATTAAACAGTTTAGTGAGATTTAAACACGTCGATATGTATGTATATTAGATTTTTAATTTATTTCATTTAATACCGCTGTCTGTCCGTCTGTCTGTCTGTGTGTGTATGAAAACTTTGCGCGCACTGTACAGGTCGTAATTTTGGAATAATTTGATGACATTTAGCTACTTTCTTGATGAGTACATAGAACTTCAAATTTTAACCACTAAACGCTTAAGCTGGATCCGAGCCTGTACTTAACCCTTGCCCCCATATAGCTTATCTTTCAAAAAATCACTTTTTGGCCATCAAAATATTTCGAAATTAAGGTAAAACACCACTTAAATCTTTTACTATAAAAAATAATTTACGTTTTTAACGCACTCACTGGTTTAGGGTATCATATGACTATACAAATTTTACCTTAGATTTTGCCAATTACATCAGGTTTTCGATAAATTTAGGTAAAACTAAAGACGCTTATCGTCATATACTTGTTTTTCCACCGATTTTGTTATATCATCTGATAGCTCTTCACAGAATCACTTTCTAACCCGATTAAGATAAGTCCGTTTGTCTGTCTGTCCATCTGTCTGTCTGTCCGTCCATCTGGCTGTCCATATAAAACTTGTGCTACAGGCGGATAATTCAATATATTTTAATGAAATTTGAACCATACAACAATTATACTAATATTTTTTCAGAAATCGACACAACAGCTTTTCAATAAATTGCTGTAATACATCGAAATAAAGGTAAAACATAGATAATAAAGGTAATGTTTAAAACATACTCATAACTGGTGTGAGGTATCATATGGTATGTATACTTTCCATTTCTTTCTTTGAAAAATCTTAAGCTAAAATTTAAAATTTTTTAAAATTTTTTGGTCTGTGTTTGTGATTTGGATATAATTTCTGAATTTATGACAAAATTTATTATATGATAATTTTTTTATGGGATTTCTAACAAATAAATGAATTTTTTGTATTACATAAAGCATTTAATTGAAATAAATATTTCCAAAATGACGTCATTTGCTACATATATTCAAATACATCAAACATCCATCTTACACCAGGAAACGCGACGTAAATGTAAACTTTAATATACGAGAATAAGTAAATCAAAAACGATATGCTTGAGATCAAGTAATAAACACTAATAAAGAAAACTAACTAATGAACTACACAGTACTTGGTCTTTATTACAAATAAAAAATAAATACAAAATTTCTTCAACCTTAGAAATAAAAAATAATGAATGTATGATTAAGTAAGAAAATATAAGGTTGGATGGACGGACGAGCGGTCCGCGGTTATTTAGATGAATGAAAGCGGATAAATGTTTGGATGGATGGATGGATGTATAGCTGGTGGGTCGATTCTAACTAACTGGCTAGCCACTGACATTTATTCGTAAGTATATGTGTGACAATGTCATATATATTACTAACTAACATCTTAATACATTTATTTAAGAAATTGCAAATGTATTTGTTAGACAATATCTAAGTATAAGTATAGTCGGTGGCTCTGTGTGTCAAACTTTAGAATATTAAATAAAAATTCAGTGTCAACGGAAGTAATATTTCTTACAGACAATTACTAAAGATATTTAGACAGCAACAAAAAAAAACACATACTCAGATACATTCATATATTTTTCAAATGAATATTAGAGAAATTATAAGCAGGAGCAGGTCTAGTTCAGTTTTCCAACGTTTATTGTAAATTAAGAAAAAAAAGACTACTTTTATTAATTAATAAAACCATAATATAAATTTACTTTCTTTAATTGTAGTGGTGTGTTTGGATGTTTATAGTTGTATGTATGATTTTACTAATTGTTGTCTTGTTTCCAGCTTAAACTTGAATTGATTTACATTCAAATACTTTTCGTATCTAATTTGTATTCATGTGTTTGTAGATTGCGTAGGCTTTGCTGAATTTAACATACATTCAATTTAAAATTTGGAAAATTTTTATGCTCTTTTTGAGGTATTTTTTGTAAAGATGATTTGAATGATTTTCCATGTGGAAAAAAAATTAATTATTATTATGATGTTTCTTACTTTCTCTCCTCTCCCCCAAAATGATCTAGTTAGCATTTGCTCACATGTATATAATATTCTATTTACATATAAATTAACTTCTTTGTGCGTGGCTTAATTGAAAATTATATTAAGTGGGGATACACAGAACGATCGTATGAACTATTTTGACCTATGGATCTCTTATCTGATAGAAATGTGTATAAAGCTTTCTATATATTGCATGAATATCTGCCAAGTCGGCTAAATCACAAAACCTCAGATACTAATAATGATGTGACATCAAAAAGCTCTAACTGCCGAGTAGCGCTTAGACGAAACTGTTGCGAAGTCGAACATATAGAAGACAAAAGATTCAGCAACCTGATGGTCTATACGTTACGACTTTTTATAGCTATAATAACATAGAACAATGAGAGGTATAGTAGCAAATGTAGCAATCTCCATTTATGTAAAAATTAACCAAATAATGTCATTTGACGCCTTAATGCATTTAGCATTCTTTTTAAGCAAATTTGTGTATAAACAACCTCTTTGGGTGACACCTAAACCTCCCCCCCACCCCCTGGGACATGTTTCCTTCATGAAAGACCCTCATCTTGGTGCTACCAGTACCTCTAGTCCGCCGGGACTATAAGCTGGTCCTTGTATGATTTGTCATGGGGTCTAACCAGAGAACCACACAGTCTAGAACTAGAGGTGGCCAGTTGCGTGCAGAACTTGTCCTCGCTGGTCAGTTGACTGAGGTTCCTTAGGGATCCACGTAGTGTTGTTGCGGTTAAAAGACTGATGAACGGTGAAATCTATATATTTTGGATAAGTTCGGTGCTGTTGTCGATTAACAAGAGATATCCCACAGAGTTGTGACTGTGGGACTAAGCGTTGGAAATGAGTTGGTGTTAATTGTATATGATGCAGGATGAATGCAGGAGTATACGGAATTCATCAGCCCGTATACCTAGGGTGAGTCTGTAGTATTTTGTTCTCTTATGAGTCGAATAAATGAGAAGTATGCAAGGTTGAATGGTGATGGATGAAAGGTATCTTTTACAAATTATACCATTGAATTTTCCTTCTTTGTCCATGTATGTTCAGAGTAAACTCTGTTCATACTAGAATTACCACAGAATGTCACTGTGAGAAGAAACAAAGTCTCGGCTTATTCGTACTTCGATCTGTTTAAGTAGAGGATTCGTACTTCGATCTACCGGTTACGTCACCAGGTGCTTTCTAAATGTGTCTTCAAAGAATCTACACAGATCTTATAGAAACACAGAGTGATACCGGGTGCTTTATTGTTCCCAAAATAGACCCACAACCTTTATATTTTTCACATACTGACAGATAATCTGATTATTGAGAATATTTTGTAAGATTTTTAAGGAATAATTATTCAAAACTAATGTTAAACAATTTCCAATTTACCTACGCACTTTATATACAAACAATGTATATCACTGCTACAATTGATGACATTTGGTACTTTGACGCCATCTGACAAAAAAAAACGAATCGCAGCTTAATCAGGAATTATCACTGATTAAGAACGACGCATATGGACAACGTATGAGTGCGAGCTTTACAATTCAGCCATAAGTTCTCTGCAACGCTCTGCTTCATAAAGCTTAGCAGCAATCGTCTCTGTGTGACTTTAGACAATCATAATTTTTTTTTATTTTATTTAACTTTAACTAAATCTACTAACAACAACACTAATAAAATAAGTCACAAATTACATTTTTTTATTATATGCGAATACAGAAACTTTGTATGGTTTGTATGTCCGTCCATATTGCTATATGTCAGACTGTGAGTAGTTAGTGCAGCTGCGTTTCAAATTTTTGCTACGACAGCATCAGACAGTATGAGCTCGCTCCTCTAAAACTAAAAGGCGACTGAGAAAAAGTGACCAACGTTTGGATTTAGAATAGCAATTGTAAAACATTCATACAATTGAAATCGGGAAGCGTTGATCATTCGTTTAACGGTGGAGTCCTGAGTAGCACGCGAATCTCGGTCTCAAATAATTTATTTAAAGAAAAAAAAGTAATAAAAAAATATAACTACAAATTAAGACTTAAATAAAGCTACTTAAAGAGGGACTTGCGTAATATCATTTTATAATTGTTTAATAAAAAAAGAAAAAAACATCACAAATAAAACTCCTTTAAGTGTTTTCTTAATTTATAATAAATATTTAACACTCGTCAATACTATAAAAACTGATTCGAAGTGTTAAAGTCCGTTAGAGGTTTACGTTTGACGGATTATCGTCCGCAACGCAGTAGTCATCAGGAACGTTTACGTATTAAGGATCTATATTTTACCTTCAAAATGCCCACGGTTGCCGAAGAGTCTATTGATGCTTTCCAAAACTACTATGCCCGTCCACCAGAGAGACCCAAGAAGAAGTCTTTCAAACAAATGGTTTATGATCCCGAGACAAGTGAATATTTTGGCCGAACCATAGAAAGCTGGGGTAAGTAATTTAAATTTAAAACAAATTTTCAAGAATTTTCTATAAGTTGCTTGAAAAAATTCCTTTAGTAGTTTCCGTTGCTAATCTATTAAGATTTATATTCACATCTTTTGATTATTTTTATAAGACATTTTTATTTATTTTTATTTGCCTGTTCAAAATGTACAATTTGCTACCGTCATCCATATATTTTGAACACCGCACCCCCTTCCTCCCTCCTCAAACGTTTTCAGTAAGCGAAATATATCTACATATGTGTTGATTCAGTTGTACTTATATGTTAGTTATAGTGTTTGAAATGATATCAATTAGATAATTGTATCTCTACTGAGATTTAAGTGTGATTTTCCATTACGTTTGTGACACTGTGACCTCTGTTTTGAATTTAGTTTTTTTTTTTTGCTTAAATGCATGTAAACGATGTCTTTGTATGGGAATATAAATGGATGGATGAGTGTGCGATTTGATGAATTTGAAAATGTATACTTGATGATTATGTAATTGAAAAGGAATTATATTGCTCAAAAAATATTACTTAGTGCACTAAATAAGATAATGTCAGCATAACAATATTTTAACTTATAGGTCAGATCAGTTGGAATATAATGCAATGTGTTTCAAACATCACAGGATCTTCAAGAAACTGATCTCAAAATAAATTTTTGGACCAAAAATCTGCAAAAATAAATTTTATGTAAACATGAATATTATGAGGATCGGTGCATATTTCCTCTGCACCCACGTATAAACCTTCAATCAATAAATAACTTAAATATATGGGAACCAAGTTAAAATCAACTTATATAAATAACAACAAGAGTGTCATGTGTTATGCCGAATCTTATATACCCACCATCAAACCGTATGCCGAAAATATAAACATCAGGATGATATTTGGAATGGACCTTATATGCAGGGGGGTAAGGTCAATTATGGACCGATCTTCAAAAAATTTGTCTTTGAGAGATTTTTACTCGTAAGAAACTTTCCTTAGTCGAATTTTATCGCTATCGTATTTTTTATCCAGTAACGAACGTTAAAGACATTTTCTGAAGGAAAGCTTATATGGAGTGTAGGGTCAATTATAGACCGATCCTTATAAAATGTGCTACAGAGATTTTAGCTAGTACTTATGTCAAATTTCATCGCTATACTCATGAATTTTAAGCCATGAATAAGCGTTAAAGTAATTTTCAGAAAGGGTCCTTATATAGGGGGGTTGGTTAAATTATGGACCGATCATACTAAAATTTGGTATTGAGATTTTGGCTCGTATGAAACATAGTTGTGTCCAACTCGTATTTTTAAGCCAGTAATGCGCGTTAACGTCATTTTCTGAAATGGGCTTTATATGGGGGGTAGGACCGATTATTATAAAATTTTGTGGAAAGCTTCTGACTTATATGAAACTTATTTCGAGGGGCCACTTGTATGGGGGCTATGCGAAAACGTAGACCAATATTTTAACCCTCTAGCTCTTTCCGTTCGGACTCTATCATGTTTTCAACAGACAGACGGACGAACATGGCTAGATCGTCTTAGAATTTATTAAGGACCCATAATATATATACGTTTGTGGGTCTATGACCAATATTTCGAAGTGTTACAAACGTAATGACAAAAACAATATACCCCCGTCTTTTTTTGTTCGTGGGCATAAAAATAAATCGCATTTTGTAAACAACTCCTAGAGGGTATCATATAGTCAAACATGCCTTATTTGTTTCATTACATTTTCATGGTAAAACCTTGAATCAAGATATCTGAGTCTGCGCCCTTTTAGAGCAAAGCAATCTAAGTAGGCATATTTAAAGTTGTAAACAATTTATATATATGAACCACAGAATCATGATTATTTTTTTAAACAAACAAGAAATATGAACTTCTCACAGTGTGATCGGTCACATTGATAAAATATTAGATGAAAAAAACAAAACAATACAATATATTTTGAACAGATATTTATTTAAAACTATTTATTTGGATAATGTCTGTTTCTATTATACCAAATATTTGTGTAATGTGAACATAGTATATCTACTTTTGCAAAATTTTAGAAAAAAATAAATATTCCACTCAAAAAATAAATCTTTTGTTTAGAAACTAGGGTTTTTTATTTGCACAATCAACAAAGAGTAGTGTGAAAACAAAAAAATCCTTTAAGGGTGTCAAATAACATTCTTTAGCACAAACTAACAAAATGCAAGCAATAACAAACCTACCACAAACACATTCACACACACACACATGCAGTGTGTACAGTACCTGTTCGTAAATCTATTTCAAAGCAAAATTTCATATACATATTCCCTAAGCTACCTGGATTAAGGAATATAATGAAATTGAATATAGAAGTAGTTAACAACCCTTAATATTACAAATTATAATGATTCTTTTCATAGTTGAAAAAGTACTAATGCAAACTGAATTTAGTTCAATTTAGTTGATTTGAGTTTTTGTTAAAAAAATACTCTTGAGTTTTGTAAATAATGACAACTATTGTAAATGAATTTCATAGTGAGTGATTGTAACTGTCACTCAATTAAAGTGTTATAATTTTAAGAGCTCTTTGACAATTGACATACAATACAAGAAAACTATGAATGAATGAGTATTGAAATGTTTGTAAATTTTTTATAAACACGTTGTATTTTACAATTAAACAAATAAATGTTAGCATGTAAATGTATCTGGGCGATAAACAAATAACAAAATATGTGGACTCTAGGAAAAGCTATTAATTTAGTAAAGAGTAGACTAAAGGGTGGGGTATGTTTTATAAAGTAAATTATAGTAAATCTATTAGTATTAGTATTTAATTATTGCACTTAAACTTTTAATTCAATTAATATGATGTGTTAGTGTTATTGTTAGTTCTCTTAAATTCCCTTTCTTAACGATCTTGGCTTGAATAGATTTCCTCATTTAACTCTCTCTGTGCTCAGACATACCCTATTTTGTGTTTGTCCATTGAGTTTCTCTTTAACTCTTCTTTGAGTGAATTTATTTAATTTTTGTTGTTGTTATTTATTTGGCTGTATCCATTAATTGAGAATTTGTTTGTATTCCAAGCCATGTATCGTTTAGATACTGGTTTTCAGTATAGTATTAATTTTGAAACGCGCTAACGAAGCACTTAAAAGATTCTTTCAGCTTGTGTCTGTAAAAAAAATTGTTATCGTTTTTGTTTTGAAAAGCTTTAAAAGCCAGTGTTTATTACTAAAAGTTCTCAAACAAATTGTAAAAATATTAATAAAAAAACATATTTTATAAAAATATTAAAAATTTAACTTAAAATAAAAGAAATTAACAAAAATTTATTTACAAAACTCTACTATTAAAGCCGAGTTTACAACACGTTGCCTAAAGCCATCTCTGTCTTACCTTAAGAGTTTTAAACTCTACGAATAAGGTGTGGCTGGCTCTTTTAGCCAACTGCTTAGAAAAAATAAGAAAAGAAATTCCCAAAAATTTGGTTTTCTGAATACAAATATCAAAAGAAAACAAACAATAAATAAATAATATACAATTGCTCAAGAACACAACAAAACCTAAAAAAAAAAAACTTAATTATTGTTCATGCGACATTTATTTATAACTTTTTTTTAAGATAAAAAGCAAATACTGCTTAACAAAAACAGCCAACAAATTAATTCAATAATTTTGTAAGTTGTTGTACATATTTTTTTAATCAGCAATTTTTTCGAATGCACATTTCGTATTAGTGCATTGACTTTCGGTTTCGGTTAATATTTGGCAAATACATACCTATAACAACCAACAACAAATACAAATTTACAAAATACCTAAAACAACATAATTTTTTAAAATATGGCCATGGCAGCAATATTAATTTTTCCGTGTAAAAATTTCTAAAAGAAAACTTTGATCAAAATAGTTGCTTTAAGGCGCGCGATCGTGTGTGATCAGAGTTAGCATTTTGTTAAAGTTTTTAACAAAATCAAAACTAATTAAAATTTTCAATAAAAAAAAAAAATAATAAAAACTATAAAAATAAATATGTGTAAAAATAAAATTTTGTAAAAATTATTGAAAATAAAAATTACATAATTTAAAAAAAAAAATTCAAATAATTAAAAAATATAATTTTTACCAAATATAGTGATTACATAATATTTTTTTCTTATTTTATTTATAGCTATTTTCAAAATCATTTATAAATTATAAAATTTATTATTAAAAAAAAAACTAAATAAAGAAAAAAATTTATAATATAATCATCTAAATCCGTCCTTTATTTTGGAATAAATCATATATCAAATATATTTAGTTATTATAATTATTCAACATCAAAATGTCAAAATCACGACCCATGCATCATGCCAGTATTGAAGAGTTCCAGGTGCGTCGAAAAGAGCCCTTCAATTTAAGCACATTTTTATATAATCCCGAAAAGGGCACTGTTATGAATCGAGATAGAGCTTCTTGGAGTAAGTTTGTTAAAAATAATTATTAAAATTTTCAAAAAATGTTCCCTAATTTATAAGAGAAATGTAAAAGCTGTTTACTAATTGCAATTTTTCCTTAGTATTATAGAAACATTTAACCCTTAATTGACCGTAATTTTTAAATCCCTCAAACTAATATAATAACCCCAAAGAAATCAGTTCCTGAATACTGAATACAAATATTATGCCTTGATTCCTAATTGCATTTAAAGGGATTTAATCATGTAGACAATTATACTGATGATATCTGATGGTTCCCAATGATTCTGGCCACTTTATATAATGATCTATGAATGTAATTATCACCCAGTTTGCTGGTCGTAATTCTTTTGAATTTTTCAATCAGTGGTCTTGAAGGATGATATATCTGGAATGACATCGCTCCTACTATATTTGAATTGTAGGAAGAATGTTTCAGCGCTTCATAGTCCTCTCCATTTGTCTTGATTCGTTCGATCACCTTTATACATTTGAGCCGGTAAACCAGTGTGTTTACTTATTTTACTTATTAATTCAAAAGAGGCTTCTCTTCTTTTTTGATCATAACCCTTGATCCATTATTTCAAATGGCCGTGATGCACTAGTCAATGTTTTTAATTCAGTACTAGTTTCATCGAACGGTTTTACAATCGTCAGGTTAACTTCCGCATTTCGCTGTTTTAGATTTAAAGTTATCAGCGCATATCGTCCTAATTGCCTTTTAGCTGTCGGAAAACATATTAACCTCTGTGGGCCTTGGTATCCGTAATAGAACTGATTTCTGACTGGAAGTTTTGATTAGGTGGTCGGTAGTGTTTTAAGAGTTTTTAGTGCAAATCACTAGACCCGTTTTGTCCCTCATAATAATTCTATTTTAAAATTTGATAGCGCCTTTAAAAGAGAAAATAGAGGGAGGCTAGAAATAGTGAAGTCCAATATATGTCAAAAAATGGGTCCTTAATTAACCAAAATCTTCCGCGAAGATTGAATCACACGAATTTGCTTTTGTTTAAAGTTTTCGAAAAGTTCAGATACTGGCAAGATCACTTTTATTACAAGCCATGAGTTCAAAAAATTTCCATTGTACTCGTAAATTTTGCAGACAATTAAGTACTTGTTGCAACATTAAAGGATTAAACATAAATATTAATAATTTATTTAAATGTTTTTTCGTAAGTTTGCATAACAAAATGTCATCAATTGTCCACGAATAATAAAATGTTTTTGTGTCTTACGTAGCACAAAAAATTGTATTTATTTTTACAAACATTACGTTATTTAAAAGAATATTTATGGGCAGCAAAATATTATGTTTAAACGTATGTATGTATATAGAGTAGATATTGTACGTCTATGTGCATTATAGAAAAACTTAGCCTTGCGGGGTTTTGTTTATGGTGATCATCATCATCATCATCATCAATTCATATATACACATGAATATGTCAAATAATTGGACACAAATTGGGGCACATTTGGTTTGTTTCGGTTAGTTAGTGCATTAGAGGTCTATGTATATACATACATATGTATGCACATACAAGAGTATTTAGAGATTTCGATAAGTAGTTGGGCACAAATATCGTTTGTCACCCTACCCAGGCTTTTCCTCGAGCTGTTTTCTCACCGTTCATGCTAATTGTGGCAATTATTGTAAATAACCAAAACCCAGTAGCAGGCAACAGCATCAGCATTAGTGTTTAGATTTGTATGTATGTAGCATTTGTATATGCAACAAGGCGGGATAGTAGATCACAACCAACATGAATAATGAATGAAAATGTTAAAGAGTCATATACTAAATGCACTAAATTTAAAAACATTTTCAAATATTTTGATCTTGTGAAATTAATTTTAAAATGTAAAAATTTTTAGTTTGAACATGGTTTATTATTATTGAATGTCATTACGCAAATGTCGAATAGTATTTTAATAAAAAAAATCCCACAATACTAAACTAATTAATAACAACTAATTTAAAAAAGAAAAAAAATTAATTTTGTCAGTACCCTTTCATTTAAATTAATTTACAGGTGACTGTATTCTAGGAAATTAGTGATGAAAATCTTAATATAGGGACAGGGTTGGGATGTATTTTTTAAAATCAGAATATCTTTCTATAGATTAAATGTTCTCAGACTAGTCTATATTATATAGGATTAGTCTACTGGCTAGTACATAGTATAGTCTATGCATTAGTTTATATATATGTCTATATACTGACTATTTATTAGTTACTCTGTATTCTATGGACAACTCTACTGTCTAGTCTCTGAACTAGTCTATTGTCCAGTCAATGCAGCAGTCTATTGTCTATCCTATTGACTAGTTCTAGTCAATAGACAAGTATATTTTAAAGTCTATGATAAATCGATTGACTAGTATATAGGCTAGTCAATGGAATATTCTGTTGACTAGTCTATGGACTATTGTGTTGACTAGTCTATTTACTAATCTATTAACTATTCTACTGGCTAGTTAGACTTAGCTAGCCTATTCAACAGAATAGGCTATGGACTATTCTGTTGACTAGTCTATTTACCAATCTGTTGACTAGTCTATTGGCTAGTCTATGGACTATTCTATTGACTAGGCTATTGGTTAGTCTATGAACTATTCTATTGACTAGTCAATGAACTAGTCTATGGCCTAGTCTATTGGCTAGTCTATGGACTATTCAATTGACTAGTCTATTGGCTAGTCTATTGATTAGTATATTGACTAGTATATGAACTAGTCTATGGCCTAGTCTATGAACTAGTATATGGCCTGGTCTATTGGCAAGTTTATAGACTAATCCATTTGCTAATCTATTGACTAGTCTATTGGCTAGTCTATGGAATATTCTATTGACTAGTCAATGAACTAGTCTATGGCCTAATCTATTGGCTAATCTATTGACTACTCTATGGACTAATCTATTGGAAAGTCTATGGTTTATTCTATTAACTTGTCTATTTTCAAGTCTATGGACTAATCCATTTACTAATCTATTGACTAGTCTATTGGCTAGTCTGTTGACTATTATATGCACTATTCTATTGACTATCTATAGTACTAGTCAATGACCTAGTTTAGTATATTGAGTCTAATAATCACTTTATTAGCTAATATACTTGTTAATAGATTACTTAGCAAAAGTTAGTAATATAAAAAGTACCAAATATGTCGCTATTAATAGGTACTTAAAAAAGTACAGTAATTCCAAAATTTCCATCCCTGTATTCAATTGTTATTAACCTGCATTCGTATTAAAAATCGGAGACGCTTTTTTTTTCTGGAAACAAAGGAATTAACAATTACTCATTCTGGTTTAATATGGAATACCTAAACTACATGGTCTTCTACTCTTACTACCGCTCTCTTTTAAAGTTTCTCTCTAAGTTCTCTCTAAAATTGTTCATTAATCATTGTTCATAAATTTTACTCAATTACTCACCTGTTTACCACCTTTAAGCCAAAGTTAATAACTCATAATATTTGTTTACAATTCTGTTAAGAAAGAGATAACTATATAATGAAACAAAAGTTGCCATATTATTAAAAACTCAAAATATGGCAACTTTATTTAAAAACAACAGTAAACACTTTATAAACCAGAGTAACTTAAACATGGCCACATTTCGTTATAAACGATAACTCTCTGTTTATTTCCCATTTCCTAAACACTTGCTTTCCTTTCTTCAATACAAGATTTTTAATTAATTCTTTTTATGGTTAACCTCTACAAATTAGCTGAAGCCAGAAGTCAGACACACACTCAGCATGTACCCCCATTTATTAAGCAAACAGACAAGGCAGTGACAATTAAATTATATGTACGAGCAAAGAAATTGTTCATGTATGCAACAAATAAACAATAATTTTTTAATAAAATAATTTAATCAAAAAAAGAAACACAAGTATTTGATCTCATTATAACTAAAGCCACAATGTTTAGTCATTTAAATGTGTCATATTGGGAGCATAAGTCGACTTAGTGGGCACTCTACTTTAAAACTTTTTCTTTTCAATAAATTTTAATTAATTTTAAACCTTATTTCTTTTATACTTTCAGCAAAAATTGGTGTTTTCTATACAGCATTTTATGGAGTTTTAGCGGCGCTGGTTGCCATCTGTATGTGGGCTTTCTTTCAAACTTTGGATCCTCGCATACCAAAATGGACATTGGATGGTTCGTTAATAGGAACAAATCCTGGTAAGTAAACGAATTCTACTTAACAACACTAGACAAAAGATAATCAAATCAATCTTAAATTTTCTCCAGGCCTTGGTTTCAGACCACTTCCACCCACAGATAATGTTGAAAGTACCTTGATCTGGTACAAGGGTACCCATCATGAAAACTACAAACAATGGACAGATGCTTTGGATGAATTTTTGGATGGTATGTTAACGTTAACGGTTCTAAAAATATTTAAAATTTTTTACAATTACTTTTATAACTGATAACTATGTCAATGTTAATAACTATTTAAAACAAACACTTGATATTTAATATTAAACTATTAACTGTAACTTTTATCTATATAAGATTTTGACCATGTGTTTTCAAGTGCTGTGATTTTATTTTTGATTTAAATGTAATTTTTAATCTTTAATATTTGTTTTCATTTTAACCCTATAGTTTACAAAGTACCCGGTTTAACACCCGGTCGTGGTCAAAACATTTACAACTGTGACTACAATCAACCACCACCAAAGGGTCAAGTATGCGATGTGGACATTAAGGCCTGGTCTCCCTGTACCAAAGAGAATAACTACAGTTATCATAAGAGTTCACCGTGTGTATTCTTGAAATTGAATAAAATCTATGGTTGGATACCGGAATTCTATAATGATTCCTCTGATTTGCCAGAAAATATGCCAAGAAATCTAAAGACCTATATTGCTGATGTACAAAAGAATCAATCACACAAGGTTAGTAGTGGGGCGATAACTACAAGTTAAACTTTTTAATGTAAATTCTTTTATTTTCCAGATGAACACCATTTGGGTTTCATGCGAGGGTGAAAATCCTGCTGATCAGGAGAATGTGGGTCCAGTAGATTATTTGCCGGTACGCGGTTTTCCCGGCTACTTTTATCCCTATCAAAATTCAGAGGGTTATTTAAGTCCTTTAGTGGCTGTACATTTCCAAAGACCAAAACGTAAGTGTAGAATATTACAAAGTTCGGGTTACATTGCTCGAGATTTACATATATTATAATCAAAACTAAGTTTAAAAGTTTTAAGTTTTTTTATGACATAACTTCTCTTTTAACTATGTAACATGTATAAAAATGGACCATGATGAACTAGGTACACATCTGAAGAATAAAGTCAAAGTTTTGCTTCTGAAGAAAAAATCATCAGAATGAGGCCCTAACTGATCGAGTAGTGTTAACACTAAATGACTTCTATTCTCATGACTTTCCACATCTACAAGTCAATATTATTGAGTAGATTTTCAGAAGAGGGTTTTTAATGGGAACTTGGGTTAATTGTGGACCGAACTCTTTAGAATTTGAGAGAGTGATTTATTTGTTTTTGTTTGTTTTTCCCAATACCTTGATTTTCAAACGTTTTATTTTCTGTAAGAGGAGTTGTATAATGGGTCAATAATGGCCGATCTCTTTGAAATTATTTTGTAGAGAAACTTTTAAATGGACCGATTATTCCCAATTCTGGTCTATAGCTCCTTCCTTTTGTCGTGTTTTCTGGCAGGCGAACGGACACAGCTATATCGCCTTAGGATCTTATAAGGACACTAGATATACCTCTATTTATATATATCCCAGGATATCAAAGAGATCCTAAGGTCTTTTAATATTAAAAAAATAAACCAACTTAATAATCTCTTTCTCTTTTTCAGGCGGTATTATTATCAATATTGAATGTAAAGCATGGGCCCGCAATATCATACACGATCGCAAGGATAAACTGGGCTCAGTACATTTTGAACTTTTAATAGACTAATATGTGTCTCTTTTGAAAGCTTTTTATTTATAAATTTTTAAATTATTTTTAAATTTTACCAACGAACAATTCAACAAACAAAAATAATAATACCAATACTTTCTGTTGCGTTTAAGCACAAATTTCAATAGTTAGAAAATATGATAAAAGATTTTATAAAAACTTATTAAACCTTAAAAAATACCAAGCACAGTTTTATTAATTACAAATGAAATTAAAAAAGAAACAAACGAATTAATAAATTAATAAATAATTGTTGTTACTTTATTTTAAAGTAAACTGCCATTCACCAAATATTTAAACACACAAACCAATTCAATTACACAAATTACTATTTATAAATATAATTATTTTTCTTTTTTTTTAAATATAATTTCGAGTGTATAAATTGTTGTTGCTAAATGAAGATAAAGTTATAAAAAAAAAACAATAATTATAAAATAAAAAAAATGTTAAGTAAAGAAAAGAATCTAACTGGGCATAAAAGATATAAAAAGATGAGTTGTAGCTACAAGTACTAAGTAGTTGAGTGTGTGTGTGTAAATTTACCCCACAAACTATAAAAAAAAAAATATTAATTAAATATAAAGTTATTGTATATTTAAAAAAACACTATGACTATATAAAGTCATATAATTTTGTTTAAATATTATTAATTTAACTACTACTATTATTTCTCTTTCTCTCTCTCTTGCTTTTAAATGTTTAAATTTTAAACAAACTAAAGAACGAAAAACAAAATAATTTAATTTATAAAAAAAATTAATATTAGTGTCATGAAAGCTTCTAGCAATGTACAAGTTAGTTTAATCTCAAACCGCTCAAAAGCCCCCCAACTTCCCAAACGGAATCTTCCCAAAAGTAAAAAACAAAAGAAACACATCCCCACCCTTTATTATATAGCATATTACTGCATACATTATTATGACGATAAACCAATTCAAAGCTAATTTTGAATGTTTTTTAAAATTAATAATAAAAAAATATGATTTAATTTTTTTAAGTTATTAATAAAAATTTAACAAAACAAAATATATTGTCAAATTGTTTTAATTTAGAGAAATAATAAATTTAAGTTTTAATTAGGAAATAAAAAGTATTGAGCAAATTGAGCTTTTGCACTAAATTTCATTAAGCTTTGAAAACATTAAACTGATTTTATAAGCGGAATGAGCCGATTTTAATATCTTTCTCTTTTTAATACATATATATATAGGAAATACTAATAAATTTTTGTTCATTGCTAAACTTGCTTTAAGCTAATCAGGAGAAAAGCTTAATTACAAAACAAAAAACTTTACGAAAGCTTTTCCTAATTGATTTAAATCGAAAATGCTAACAAAATTTTCATACATATCTCCAAATTAACTTTAAGCCAATCTTGAGCCAAAAAAGCTTGATTACAAAACCTATTACTTTTCGCAAGCTTTTTTCCCATAATTTATTGGTGAAAGCTTAAACTGAAATTGATTTTGTTAAGATTATAAACGTACCCGGATCAGCTACGATCCGTACAAGGAAAAAGTACAGAAGTTGTTTTTATACCTTTAAAGAGATTTCAGATTCAGTGGAGATGGAAAAGTGATCATAAGATTTATATATATATATGTATATAAAACTTCAAGCTCACCCTTAAACTAGCTTTAGCCAATCTTGTTCCCTAACAAAAAAGCTTCTTTACAAATCAAGAAAAAGAAAGCTTTTCCTGATAATTTATCTCTGATTTGACCTAAAGACAATTAGCTTATGATCATAGATGCACCCGGATCAGATACGATCAAAATCTGTGACAACAAGGAAAAAGTACAGAAGTTTTCGGATTCAGATTTCTATATGAAATTGCCAAGGTCAGTAGAAAAAAGTATCGTTACCACAGACATAACCATAATTTAATCATTTTTACTAAATCGATATAGAAATCTTCTTGGTTAAGACGTTTATGATGTTATGGGTCAAAAAGTTAAAAAATTCCAGAAATTAGGAAGACAATAATCATTTTAAGGAATCTTTGTGATCAAAAGAAGATACATTTTGAAAAATTCTTCTGGGGTCAAACTGCGACGATCAAAATCTTTGATTAAATGCTGTTGATATTTCGATCAACAATATGCTTTCTGTTTTAGTCACATATCAGGTTTCTTGACAATATTGTTAACCCAATGAGAATTATAAAGATTCCTTGTATGTGCTGTACGTTACAATTTAACAGGTATAATTATGTTGAACCGACATTTTAAATTCAAAGTAGATAGGAAAAGCAATTTAATTCCGAATTTCTCGTTTCAAAAACACTCTACATTAGCATCACTCGCTTGACCCATTAAAATCAGTAACAATCAAATTTGATAATAAAAATACCAAGTACTTAAACACGTTTAATAGTCGTTGAAAACAAATAATTTTTTATTACGTCTATTATTCAAAATCGCCAAAGTAAACTCACGTTTTGATAAGACGACAAAAAAATCATTGCTTATGAAGAAATTAAAGGCAAAACTAAAACATTTCTTTAACCTAAGGTTAAAATAACTTCTACATGCCGAAAAAAGTAATTCTCATTTTGCGGCCTTGATATAAAAAGAATTTTTTATGATCAGAATTATAAACCGAAAAAAATATATTTAATTACATCAGTAGATATGGTTTCAAAGTTGATTTAAAGTTCAAATACATCGATCTAGTGAAATGAGGCACTATTATATAAAAAGCTTTCATTGCTTTGACGTAAAAGTGCATAGCATCAATTCAGCATTACGTAACATTAAAAACAGACTGTAATCAATGAAGCAATCATACTTTGTGCTTAAGAAATGAGCTCAGAATAAAGTTCTTAGTAAAACATTTCTAAAACTTTTTTATAAAACAAAAAATGAGACCCTAGCTTTTATTTCCTAAAATCCGTAGAAAGCTGTTAATCAATCAATATTGTACTATAAATTATTTACTAAACACAACTTACCTAACAAAATTACGCCACTTTGACCACACTAATCTGCACCTAAACCTTGCGTAACATTTTCAAAAACAACTGCCTTCTTTAAATACATAACTACTCATAAAAGTTTTTAAAAATGATAAGATACTGTAAAAAATATCTGTTTTTTTAATTCGTACATAGAATAATGTATAAAATCAAAATAAATAAAAACTAAATACAATACTAGTTATTAAAGATAAAAATCTTGGAAAAAAATCTACGTAAATCTATAGACAAGGTACTACTTGGCCAAAAGGAAAAACGTATATAATTTTGAAGGTTGGTTACTTATTTTAATATATTTTTCCAATCATTTTAAAATTTTTAAATACCATAAATAATTTTTAATTAATTTATTTATTTCTATCAGCAGTTCGGGAGGAAAGTGTGACGTTATATGGTTCATAAATAGAAATTTATAAATAGATAATAATATGGTTCTACTTAAGGCGTTGTGACAGTCTCAGGCCTTGCGATATCAGTGACATCAGCAACGCCAAATGTTTTAGATTGATCTACTAATGACGTTAAAGAACTTATTTTTAAAAGTATGTATTAGAGCTTTTATCACTGCATGTCACCATTGACTACTTAATAGATTTTCAAATATTTCCATGTATTTTATTCTGAAAAATTTCACCTTATTTGTCACATCTTAAGATTTTATGTAATAAAATTTAAATAAATAAAATTTCTCGAAAAAAAAGACAACAGTCAAAATAAAAAGAGAAAAACAAAGAGATAAAAAAAATTTATATACAAAATCATGAACAAAAATCCACTTAAACTGTTTATAATGTTTTTTCATAAAAATTAAGTATTCCTTTGAATTCTCGACGAATTTTAATGTGCTGCAAACTACATATGAAAATATTTGTATTTCAAATTCCCATACCGCGAATATGAGGGCACTAAAACAAATCACGTAACTGTAATTTAAATGCTGCAAGGTCGAACTGTTAATACACTGCATACAATTTCTGATAATAATTGTTTATGGTGTTAAAAAAAATATTATTAAAATTTGAAATTTTTAATGGAATTGTTTTAAATTTTTGTTTGTTTAAAAAATTTTCATATTGCAGATAATATATGTACATGTGAAAATTTTCAGTGGAAATTTATGAAAACAATTGAAAACAAAGGAAAATTTCAAAATTTTATTTAAATGACTAATTTTTATAATTTTCCTACCCTATAAAGTATATATATTCTGGATCCTTATAGATAGCGCAGTCGATTAAGCCATGTCTGTCTGACTGTCTGTTGAAATCAATTTTCTGTAGACTCCGGATAGCTTCGGGATCCAAATCTTCAATAATTCTGTTAGACATCCTACGAGAATCAGCAAAATCCGTCCATAAATAAAGGAGATATGAGCAATAAACCGAGACAACCTCTGAAAATTTCATAAAAAAAAAAGAAAATTTTTTGCATGCTTCCATTAAAAAGCAATAACAACATTGCTTATTGAAAAAAACGTATGTTTGGACATATGTTGGTTTCATTGCATTTTGTATTTTGTTTTTTTTTTTTTTTGTTTTGCTATTGCTAACATAGAGTAGGTAGAGTTGGGAAAATATGAAATAAATTGAAATTTTATAAAAATTAATTTTAAGAAAGAATTCTTGTTTAAAATAAATTTTAATATCCAAAATCAGCCTTTCCCGCCCCTTAATATCGCCACCCTAAAATATCGCCATAATGATATTTCGATTCCCATTTATATAAATATTGTTCATAAACTTTCAAAATTTTACTTAAGTTTAATTCCTCCCCTAATTACAGAGTATTTACACACAAATCAATTAATTTACAAATATGCATTTAGACTTTTAACTGCAATTTTCATGGACTGCAAGAATTTCCAACAAATACGCCACAACAATAACTACTTAAAGTTTACAGGACAATGAACAATCGATTAATCACGCACTACATGCGAAAACCCAATTAGTTACAATTTGTCTTGCTCTTAGCAGCAATGGTCAACTAAACAGTAAAGTAAATTTTCAAATACAAATTTCTCTAAGTCCTTATAAAATTGTCTTCTATACACATTAAGTAAAAACATTTAATAGTTGAAAAAAAAAATTAAATTCATTTCGCACTGTGCTAATTATTTGATCTCCATTGTATAGTACTAAAACAATAAACATTTTCCATCCATCATTGCAATGAGTTGGGGGGGTTAGATTATCTGTTAAATAAATATCGTTCATCCAGAATGTCTACAATGTCAAGTCTATACAAAAACGACAGAATTGTAGTAAAATATTTAACATCTGATATAGGTCTACTCAAATTCGTCATCATAACTTTGTCATAAGACACTTAATCAATTTATATAGTCTACATTAATTATTTCTATCTGTTCTATCAGTCTGTATTTTAAAACACATGAAATACCGAAAATTTTCTTATCAGTATGAAATGAAAAAAATCCGAATAGGAAGTTATAAATCAAAATGACTTTAGATATTTTTGAGTTGTTAGGTCAAAAATTCAGCTTGTAATTATTCAATAATGTCACAAATTTCATCCAACAAGAACAATAGAAAAAGTGAAAAATATTTTCAACATACTTTGATGTAAGTACGGACTTGAATATTTTTGGAAATTAATGTTTTTGGAACCCTAACATCTACTATTATTCAGCTGCCAAAAAAGTATTAAACATTTTCCAAGGCTTGGTATGAACTCCTTTAACCTTATTATTTGGCTGCATAGGAAATCAACACTTTTTATATTAATTTCACACTAATATAAAAGTTTTTGCATAACTAAATTTGTTAAACGCATAAATTAAAATCTATAAAAAAGGGGTAGATAACCTCTAGAAGAAATATGACACGTTTAGAATAAGTACCAGTTCTAGTTCAGTTTTAGTTTAGTTCTAGTTCAGTTCTAGTTCAGTTCTAGTTCAGTTCTAGTTCAGTTCTAGTTCAGTTCTAGTTCAGTTCTAGTTCAGTTCTAGTTCAGTTCTAGTTCAGTTCTAGTTCAGTTCTAGTTCAGTTCTAGTTCAGTTCTAGTTCAGTTCTAGTTCAGTTCTAGT